ATCCCCTGCCGCTCACATCCGCCGTGTGCTCCTTGTCATAACCGGGAAATAATGGAAAAATCCATCGTCAATTCAGCGTATAAATAATGGAATAACAATAAGTATAAAACGTCTGTCAGAATTTGACTCAATCAAAAATTGTATATGCTGACAAGGTAATTTAAATGATGAAATTAAACGAGACTGTTGATATTCTTGTTTCATCAATTTGTTTTAATCAATAAATTACCTCTTTGTTGTTCATCAACTTGTTTGTGTATAATGTACCGAGAGATATATAAACTCCGTATGCAGGTGATGAAGGTACTCCAGCATGCTAGAGGTTCACGGCGAGATACTTTTGACTTGGCGCCGCGTATCCGAGGTATATAAGGAGCGTAGGAACGTTAACCGAGGCTCTTACTTGTAGGAGTAGTGATGAAGGTATATTGCTGCATAAGTAAGGGAAGTTGACGATAGAAAAATTAAAGTCATTACGTTAGAATATCATTCAAACATTTATATTGTGTATACTCCAGATACTTTTAAGTTTCAGTAACTTTAAAAATTCAGTCAATAAATGTTTCCTTTCAAATATTAATAGAACAAATGAGAAGTGGTTATGAATCATAATGCATGTGTCTGGTTTCCTGTAATTGCAGATAAATAAACAAACGAATTACCCATGATTTAAAGGATTTATACATGACACTTTGCATGTAAATATACATAATTATTAAACAGATTTTCATTATAATAAAAGTTTTGTCATAATTGTACTCTGAGTTGTCAATGAAGATTCTGAAATATACCTTCAACTGTCTCAATCATGATTTCTACTTTAACTATTGTTTACACATGACAGAAAAAATGTGTTTATTTAATAGCATGACAGTTTAATTATCAAGATATTAACAAAAGAAAATGTTTTCTTTTTCTAAGACTTAACTACTTTTTGTATAAAATCAACAATACATAAACAACAAAAATAAATAAATATATCCTGTATTACATGTACATATTATAACAGATTCATCCAAAACAGAATATGATATAAATTCAATCCAAGAAAATGAGATCGAACATGTATGAAGAAAATTTGGAAAATGAATTATGTCTGGCATATTGTAAAACTTGACAATTCCTTTGGCTACAAGTGGTGTGGCCTTAATATACATTGAATTCTATTTATACTAAGAGTTGTCATTTTTTAATCCAAATAATTATTCTAGATATGTATTGTAACATGACAAAAACAAGAAAATAATAAATTGATACAACCTTTCAAATAAATTTAGTTTTTCTGTGAACAGGTATATACATTTACATAGTGAGTTTTGAAGGCCTTTTCAAGATATATTCTGTCCAATTATTTCTAAAATATATCCTTCTGATGCACTAAAATTTACCAAAGTACTTCAGAATATAAACAGAAAACAATTTTTGTTACCTAGATATAAATAATTTTAAAGAATTATTTAGCCAAAATAAACAGTAAAATAATCATATACATGTATTATCATCTGTTCATTCTTGCAAGATAAAGATGCAAAAACAAGGAATGTTTAAAGAAGAAAGACATCATACAAATTAAAATGAATCAATTTACCAATTATGATAAATTATTCATTGACTTCTATAAAGACAGTATGCACACAATATAAATGTACACCGTATCATGGAAAGATTTCTTCTGGTTAATGGTTTCAATACATGTACTTTGAACAATCCATGATTATCATTAAAAACATTGGTGCTTGAGGTATGTTTTCAGTAGGAATATGGGCCCTTTTTAAAAGCAAAAACTCATTAAAACCTTATTAGATTTTGTCATATTTTGATGATAGATCTTGATGTGTCTAAAGAGGAAAATCTATTCTTAATATTTGACATTTTGATTTGAAAATAGGATTTCCCTATATCCAAATACTAAGGCATTTCTAACAAATGTTGTTTGTCTCTCTCTCAGGGTCTACCCTCTCTTTAAACAAATTTTAACTGAATAATTAGCTTTTATTAAAAAAAAAGAATAATTTGTAACATTTAATTTCAACATGGAAACACCGGAACCCAAACCTACAAAATCTGCACTCAATGACAAAACAAGAGGCCCAGGGGCCACAGCGCTCACCTGAGCACATCGGGCTTGAATTTACTCCCCCCCCCCCTTCCAGGCGTTCATCATTTGAACAAACTAGAATCTACACTACCTAAGGATGATTCCATATATATACCCCGTGTATCACTAATCATAGCTTTGAAGTACTTGAAAAGAAGATTTATAACAGGTTTCCCTATATATCCGTATGTAAAACTTGGGTCGGCCATTTTGGCCCCACCCTATCCCCAGGGCCGGGGGTCATGATTTGAAAAAACTTGAATCTACACTACCTGAGGATGATTCCACATGAGTTTCATCTTTCCTGGCCCAGTGGTAATTGAGAAGGATTTTTAAAAATATATCCTATATATTCCTATGTAAAACTTGGGTCTGCCATTTTGGCCCCATCCTTGCCCCGGGGGTCATGATTTGAACAAACTTGAATCTACACTACCTTAGGATGATTCCACATGAGTTTCATCTTTCCTGGCCCAGTGGTTCTGGAGAAGATTTTTCTTATATATTCCTATGTAAAACTAGGGTCGGCCATTTTGGCCCCATCCTTGCCCCAGGGGTCATGATTTGAACAAACTTGAATCTACACTACCTGAAGATGATTCCACATGAGTTTTACCTTTCCTGTCCTAGTGGTTCTTGAGAAGAAGATTTTTAAAGATTTTTCTTATATATTCCTATGTAAAACTAGGATCGGCCATTTTGGCCCCATCTTTGCCCCGGGGGTCATGATTTGAACAAACTTGAATCTACACTACCTAAGGATGCTTCCACATGAGTTTCATCTTTCCTGGCCCAGTGGTTCTGTAGAAGAAGATTTTTAAAGATTTTTCCTATATATTCCTATGTAAAACTTGGGTCGGCCATTTTGGCCCCACCCTTGCCCAGGGGGTCATGATTTGTACAAACTTGAATCTACACTACCTGAGGATGCTGCCACATGAGTTTCATCTTTCCTAGCCCAGTGGTTCTGGAGAAGAAGATTTTTAAAGATTTTTCATATATATTCCTATGTAAAACTTGGGTCGGCCATTTTGGCCCCACCCTTGCCCCGGGGGTCATGATTTGTATAAATTTGAATCTACACTACCTGAGGATGCTTCCACATGAGTTTCATCTTTCCTGGCCCAACGGTTCTGGAGAAGAAAATTTTTTAAAAATGCCATTAATTTTTAACAAATTCATGATTAAAAAGGGCATGGCCCTTCAAACAAAAATCCCCTTCACCCAAATACTTTGTGCCAAGTTTGGTTTTGGCCCAGTGGTTCTTGAGAAGAAGATGAAAATGTGAAAAGTTTACGACGACAACAACGACAACGACGACAGACAACGGACAAATTTTGATCAGAAAAGCTCACTTGAGCCTTCGGCTCAGGTGAGCTAAAAAGGGATTCCTTTTGTTAATGTATTATTATTTCTATCTAAAAATCTTCACTGAATCTTTATTTTAAGTAATGACATAATTTTGATTCTGAGCTTGTATACTTCAGAAAAGATACCTAAAATATATTTTAAGTTCAGTACATCACTTACTCGAATCCTTGCTTCATATGTATACAATCAATATATATATTCCTTCCTAAATCATACCTCTCACACACAAATAATATTGCAAATCCTTGATTTAAAAACAGCATGCTATGAAAATTCATGCGTTTACCTTAATTCATCCTCAAAGTTGAATAACTAATACATACATGTAGCACCTACAAAGTTTTTGAACACAAATTGTAAATATGATCCTGAAAATTTTCATTTTACACAATAAAGTAAATTGGAAAAAAAATCTTCAAAACTAGTTCATTTTAATATAAAGTTTTAACTGAAATCAATGCACAGGAATATAGATAAAACAACTTTTATACAGTGTACATACTTAAGGTCAAGATCTAGTAAATAAAAGGTGCCTACAGATTTATCAAATTTGAGAAATAAATCCCTTTATTGATGCTTTAGAACTTTAGCTTGGTCAAATAAGGTGTTTCGGGGCATATTTTGTAGGTAAACAAGATGAAAAACTGTATTTTAAACTGTCATTTTCGATGAAAAATTAAGAAAACCAAACATGAATATGGGAGTTTTTTTCATATTCGACAAAGGAAATGTATCCAGATTTACAGTCTCACAGAAAACGGTAATTAGTTTGTCCATGGCCTCTTCTTTGAACCAATATCAAATTTAATATAGGTATCCGGTTTACTTTTCATATGATTTCAAATTGAATGTCATGAAAATATCCTATTTTCTACATAATTCTGCTAAAGCCGTAAATTACGCCAAAAGAAAGTTGAAATTGATTATGACGTCATAATGGATCTAGCACCAAAAATTAGTCTAAAGTTATTTACTAGATCTTGACCTTAATAAGGACTTAAATACCTGGTGGGATTTCAAGATAGAAGCCTCAAGGCCATCATGCTTACCTGAGTCACATTATATGTAGTTTATACATTTTGCTGCAATCTACATTCATAAATTTCATAAATGAAAATAAATAAATAAACATAAATTGGCAGCAAAAAGCTTCCTAGCAGGGTACATTTTAACACAACTCTCCTTATCAAATACAACATAAGTGTGAGTATGGTGTATATCTTGTGTGATTCAACATGTACAAGCACCTGCTAAGGGACAAAGGTGTATCATTTTGTAATTTGAAATACATGTTTAGTATTTCATTTGTGACAAAAATTAGCTGGATACATAAATGTAGGCACACAAGTGTTTACATATCAACTATCTTACAGTCTAAGTGCCTTATACATAAATAAAATCATTTTGACACAACGGAAAATGGAAATAAATGTTTTATAATTAGCTCTGTATAGATTATTCATGAAAATGTACACATATGTATATATAAATAAGGTACAATCATAATTTGATATATCTAAATGGTAGGGATGAGTAAAACTTATCTGTTATTGAATTAATATTTGTGTCTGCATAAAAAAAAGCTTTATCAAAGTAGATTTGATAATAAAAATAAATTATTAACAATTAAAAAATTACCCTGAATCACAGATGTACAACAATCATATTTTTATTCACTGTAATCTAGAAATTATGACTTTCTCAACTGAATTAAGTTTAAAAAATATCAAAATATGATGAATACGGAATATATGATTTAGTACTGCTTCATGAAACATGTATATTTTAATTCTGCTGCTAGAATATATTGCACTATTTGAGCACTGGAATGTTTATATATACAAATAAATACTGCAAGTCAAATAATGTACTGTAAATCAACTATTATTCTCGACAATTTTTATTGTTTTTTGTCCTTTCTGATCTATTTCGCACATGTTAATTGCACCAATGTGGAAAAAATCTACACAATAAAATAAATTGCTTGCAGCAAGAAATATTTGCAGTTGAAGCAAGTACGTAATGAAACTCCTGAATATTTCCTGCATGTGAATAAAAGTTGTTTTACAGTACACTGCTGTTCTGACACATATGGAATTCCCTCACAGAGAATCCTGAGTATACATCATATCACTAATCTACTCAAAATGCCAATAAACACATACTTTATGTACACACTCTGGTTTAGAATCTGGTGGCTAACACAATCTTCACCTGTTGACTAGAGTTATGACTAGAGCTGTGAGAGATCCACTGTCATGAGTGTTGATCTCAGTGAAGCTTCCAAGAACTGGTGAAATCTTGCAGTGCCATACAACACAGCTGTGCTTCACAATAAATGTCCATGAGTTATCTATCAAGATGTTAACACTGGCCTCTGTTGAGCTTCAATTAGATCTGTTGATGCAAAATAAAATCTGATTGATATTTGATTCATTAACATTTATTTCATAGGATTTCTACAGTTATTTTTAATGTAAAAGAATGATGCTATGGACAGCTTGCCTTCATCAGTCCCTTATTTATTTGTTTATTCAATAATAAATTAGGAAAAAAGTTTGTCTCTGAAAGACATAACCATGATTTTAACATTTTACAGCAAAACACTCTTATGCTTCAAATTGCCAAAACATGAGGTTGAAAAGGTTGTTCAAGATAATAAGCAAAAAGTCAAAGCTATTAAAGCATTATGCAGAGAAACCATTGTAAACAAAGTACCTTGTGACAAGTTATTCCTACCTGCTATAATCCAATGCCAGGGGAGGGTGACATATGTTAAGTAGGCATTCAGGGCTACACTGGTGGCTCTCTTCTGTTCTTTAAACAGCATCCAAGCCTGTCCAAAGGCCTTCCCAAGGAATCCATTGGCATGGGTGGATCTCTCTAGTTCTGTAATCAGCATTAAAAATATATTATACATGTATGTAAGTTATTCAATGAGATTCTTAGTCAGGTGTTCCAGCAAGAGGACAGTAATCCATGGATTTAAATTTCCAAAGTGTCCTTATAAAGTACTTTAGTTGTAAACTGTAAACGTATTACATTTGGCTGTGTATTCTTTTTAGCGGCTTTGGCTGATCGCAGCAACCCCTAAATCAAGTACAAAGCTAAACGTCTTGCATATATACACATAAATAAGAATATGAAGAAATACGCTAAATCAATTCCACGCTAACTAATTCAGAAGTCAATTACCGCCAAATATCGTACACGCTAAATATAATACATTTACAGTATGTATTTCTCATTGTATGTATATGTATCTACTGACTGTCAATCACATGCTTTGACTGAAGGATTAATATTATTTTGTTTAACTTAATCTTCACAATTTCTTTGAACCATTTTTCATTGTACATCTTTTAAAACTACTCCAAAAGGTTTTGGCCTCTAAATCTTACCATTTTGTAAGGTTGTGGCTTCAACTTCCTGGCAATTTTCTATTCCCGCGTTCACATTCTCAGTCTCTGATCGGGATTTTTTCAAACTCAGTCGTCGGATTCCTCCTCGTACAAAAGATCCGAAGGATTCGCTCGGATCACTCATCCGACGATGTGTGTACTGGTTCTGCTCATTGGCTTCCTGAATCCAAGAATCAATCACTTCAAAGAATTTGTTGAATGCAAATAAACCTCTACTTACAACATCAAGTTGACAGCTCATAGAATACCAAGACAAAAAAAATCAAAACAAAGTCTATCAAACTGGTAAAGAAAGATAACTAAAGCCCATAACTAATGCTTAGTATATGTACTTACTGTAAATGTATTTTATTTAGGGTGTAAGATATTTGGCATAAATTGATTAATGAACAAGTTAGCAAAGATTTAATTTAGTGCATTTACTTTTGTTCTTATTAATATCTACATGTGCAAGACATTTAATATTGTGCTTTGATAAGCAGAATTTACTTTCCATGAAAAAGAATACACAATTAAATGCAACATGATTACAGTATATGAAAACCTGTTCATTGTTGAAATCTTCCAGCCTGAAGTTTTCCTTGTTGGGTGTCTCTGGCCCTGATCCTGGCACTCTACTGACCGCGATCTCTGCGTGACCTTTACTCTTGGGCCCTCTCATTCTGACAAACTCCACCCTCTTGTTCTGTTTTATCATCCCCAGGGACATTGTCTGCATCATTTTGGAAGTAAGGCTCAGCTAATGAAAGAAAAACATCACAGTCAATGCAAAACAGAAAATTCAGCTCAAAGAAAAGGGTTAAAAGAATTAAGGCAAAAATATGGAGAAACTAATGTAATGAAATGTAAATATTAAGAGAGTTTTTAGTAATCTGTGGTTCATTTGTTGGTCAACTAAAAAAGCATTAAAACTAAGACCTAAGGCGGGTACTGTCTTACCCTGGCATCGTAAACTTTTTTTAGCACCTCGTACCGGACAGAGCCCAGGAATATCACCCCTTGTACCCTGCCATGTCTGTCTGTGGCTGTTAACTCTACACATACCATCTCTCCATCTCTTACCATTATATCTCCAAAGGCCTAACCACAGGAAAAGACAATTAATACAAACTTTATGAAAATATTTCCTTTGAGTTGAGCGTCTCATCATAAATCTGTTTTAAAATATATCTAACAAGAAAAAATATTATTCCTATATTTGAAGAATTTTTTTTTTTAAAAGTCTACCTCTTCAAAATTATCTACAGTGAAATATATGTTTGGATATGTGAGTTCTTCCTCTGTTCCCTTATCGTCCATTCTTCTCTTACTTGGAGAAGGGTAAACTCTCTAAAATTCAAAGATCATCAACATAAAAAAAAATATTCAGGAGGATATTAAGAATATATCAAATAGAAAACTAAATTTTACTCAGTTAATGATGAGTTACACTTCCTGTCCAGATTGACTGAAGTGTATTAAAATTCATACTTTTTGATTTTCCTGAATTTTAATTTCTTAAGTTTATTATTAGTTATCATGTTTTTAATTTAAAACAAACCTGAGAAAACTTTTTGAGGATTTGAAGATGCTGTTCACTTGTCCTTGTACAAACTGCACAAGTGGCAGTATAAACTAACTGCAAAAGAAGCAGATCCTATTAAACTTATACAATGATTAAGGAAAGCATGTAAAAATTACTATTATTTTCAAAATCCATTGTCACAATCACAAAATGATTAACATTTAGAGTTTCAGAATCATTTTCACATTGACAAAAACAGTTTTCAATAAGGGTCTGGCAATCCTGAGATTCAATAGTTAGAAGTTCTCTAAATGACTTCAGCTGTTGTAAGATTTAGAAAAAGGTTTCAGCTGGTTCACCTTGTTAATTACCTGGTGTGAGATGATGTTCATATACACTGTTTCCTCCCAATCAATGGTTTTATCCTCCAGGGATGGGAGGGTCTTCGAGTCTCGCCTATAGACCTCTATTTCAGGCTGTAACATACCAACAAAGAAATAATTATTCATGTGCAATTAATAACAGTGACATTAGTGACCTTCTTTTACACAGGAATATTTCCCCCATTGAATCATTTGTTATTTAACTAGAATGTTTTCCTCAATTATGAAAAAAAAAAATAGTTTCAGATGGATTTTAAGCTGAAGAATGGAGTCTTAAGGTTCTCAATTTAAAATAAATGCATGTATATTCTCTTGAGAACATTATAATATTTTTTTCATTTTATAAAAGAGCCTTATCTATTTTGTTAACTATATCAAAACATGCATTAATGTAGCATTAGAAACTGGTGAGTGAAATCATGCCAGCTTACTCTGAATGTAAATGACTTGTTTTTAGGATTGTGTGTCTTCCTGACATAGAACAACATGTCGTCTCGCTGGTCGTCTGGAACTCGTGATGGATCTATAAAGTATTTAGTGAAGAGATCTGTCCAAAAAGAGGTGGAGTCGTCCATCATTTCAAATCCTACAAAAAATATACACAAAATGAAATCAATAATATGGGAGAAAAATTAAAAAAGGGAAAAAACATGTTGATGGGTACAACACTCACTTGAGTTTGAAAATTTATGACATTCAACCTGAATGACAAATTAAACAAGTAACATGCAGAAACATGTGAATGTTCACATGTACCCGAAAACTTCAGTAGTACAAAGCATGCTAAGTATCCATTCCAGTATCATTAGTGGCAGTGCTACTCTGGTCATATCCTTGCTATATATAGAACATTGAACAGTAGAATATGCCGACTGTTTTACCAGCCATTCAGAGCCAGTTTTAACCTGCATCTGTACATATTGTCTAATCAAGTGTATATGCTAGATTTCAATTATATACTCATTCAAAAGAGATCTGATATTCATTGGACAGCCGTGAAAAACGGCATTATCATGAATTAATTTGCTGACAATTTGCCTCAGAATTCGTAAAGGTCACACGTTGTACCTTATAAAAATGTACATTTCACTAAATAAAAATGCAATATTCTGCACACGTGCAAATCGTCATTATCTTGTGACTCAATCTATTTTCTTCCTGTCAAATGATGACAAATGTCACACACCTTGGTACCGAAAACATGGGGTACATTATCTGATAATTAAATGAAATTCAACTTTACCGTCAGTGGAAATGGTCAGCGATTCTTTGGTTCGTTCCGTTTTAATTGCCCGCATCATTTCTTGGAAGGAATCACTGTTCTTAATCCCCGATTTAGAATCATCAGGATGAGGGGAAGGTGTTCGACTTTCCTCCATTGTTTATTAATTTAGTAGTTAACTCGTACGTATAATTTATTGCGTTTTTTGATAAGTTGATCCAATGATGAGTCGACTTTAAACCACATTTTTTTCCACCGCTATTATCTTTTTCTTTTTTTTTTAATTGAATTTGCGATAATTCATATAACGCCAACACAATTCTTTGTTTAATCAAAATCACATAAACTTATCTGTGCAGATATATCTTTGGACTGAGAGAAAAAAAATCAATTAATGGAAATATCCCCTTGAGGAAATGGACAGTAAAATCTTTTATTTCAGTACGTTCGTGATCAAAGAATTTACCGCAAACATTAATCCTTTGTGAATGTTGTCATTACATCATCAAGTTTTTATATATTAAATTATACAAGAATGTCCCAGATACTAAACATGAGGCCCATGAGTCACATAGCTCACCTAAGCTGTTTTGTTAATTTAGAAAAAAAAAATTATCTGGTATATTAAAAAGTGATCCCACCCTACCCCAGGAGGGATGGGCGAGGGGTCAAGATATGAATTTATTTACTTGACTATGTTTTAATTGAGATAACCCTGTCTTCGTTAAATTCATTTCCTTTAGAATTCATTGATGGTAAAAGGCCAAGGAAATTAATACACCGAATGTTTTCTCACATTTATTTATCATGAAAATCTTTAAAAATATACATGCAAATGTAAACAGTGCATGTCATTAAACATAATAGATGCTGATAAATGGAAAATAGCAATGTATATGCACCTACACTGTATGAAAAATATCAACTGAACAAGAGGCCCATGGGCCTTATACATGTAGGTCACCTGAGTATCATGTGACAACTTTCCAACAATTGAATTTGATTCATGTTTTGAACTAGAGGCCATGAAATTCACAATTTTGAAAGGGACACCATTGCTTATCATAATTACACACTCAGCATGCTTATTTTGGTTACTTAATACCCAGAGGTAGATCAGAGTAACAAAGAGAAAATGCATTTCCACTTTTAGTGAATTTCAGGGCCCCTGGGTCAGGGCTTCTTGTGTTAGGGCGGGTCCACAGCTGAGCTCCCCATTCCACAGGAACCACTGACCCTGGGGCCACATCTTTCAAAATTTTGGATTTTTAAAAAAATTTTATTTCATCATGCTGTTGCATGATTAATACCTAAGTGCAGATTTCAAAGTATTAAATTATTTCAGACTATGTTACCCCCCCCCCCCCCCAAAGAACCTCTTCTGTCCCAGGGGCCAGGAAATTAACCATTTTTGGAAGAAGCAGGTTTTTTGTCAGAAATATATACTAAGATCATTGGCATTATACCCAACAACAAAGGAAAAGATTTTTCAAAGAATTCAAGCATTTTCACTGTATAAACATTAGAGCCCTGCCCTAACACAAGAAGCCCTAACCCAGGGACCCTGAAATTCAAAATCCTTCCTCCTCATAGCTACATGTATGTACATAGTTCATTGATTTAAAAATACTCAGGTGCAGAAAAGAAGAGTTTTAAAGAATTTATGCATTTTCATTATATAATCAATAAAGCCCCGCCCTTATGCCAGAACTCCCAACCCAGGGGCCATTAAATTCAAAATTTTGGAAGAGGTAGCCTTATTCACATAACTATGTACTTGGTTAGTTTATTTAATACTCAGGAGCAAAGAAGAAGATTTTCAAAGAAATAATTCATTTTTTACTATATAATCTATATCGCCCGACCCTATCACTAGAACCCCTGACCCTGGGGCCATGAAATTCACAATTTTGGAAAAGGCAGTCTTATTCAACACAACTATGCACTTGGTTAGTTTATTTAATGCCCATGAACAGAGAAGAAGAATTTCAAAGAATTTTTGCTTTTTCACTATATAATCTATATAGCCCCACCCTACCACTAGAACCACTGACCCTGGGGCTATTAAATTTGAGAAGAGGCAGTCTTATTCAGCATAACTATGCACTTGGTTAGTTTATTTAATGCCCACAAACAGAAAAGAAGAATTTCAAAAAATTTATGCATTTTCACTATATAATCTATATAGCCCTGCCCTGGCACTACAACCCCTGACCCTGGGGCCATGCAATTCACAATTTTGGAAAAGATGGTCATTTTCAACTTACCTATGCACTTGGTTAGTTTATTCATTTAATGCCCAGGAGCAGAGAAGAATTTAAAAGAAGAATGCATTTTCACTATACAACCTGTTTAGCCCCGCCCTATTACTAGAACCCCTGACCCCAGGGCCATGAATTTCAAAAATTTGGTAGAGGACTCAATGCTGATTACAATCATGCAAACAGTTTGACTGTTTGATGTCCTGGAGTAAAGAAGAAGATTTTTAAAGATTGCACTAATTTTAGTGGTTTTTGCCCCACCCCCCAAGCCCCAGGGGGGCAGGGAGCATGAAATTCTCAATTTTTGTTCCCCTTCACCCATAGATGCTATATGCCAAATTTGGTTGAAATTGGTTCAGTGGTTTCAGAGAAGAAGCTAAAAATGTTCAAATGTTGACACACGACGGTGACCTAAAAATATATAATTATACTTGTATATGTAGTTTGCAGTTTACAAGATTGTTACTGATCATGATATAATCCTTATTTCTAAATACAAAAAAACATGAAATATTACAATATATCCTGATTATTTATATAAAACATGTATGTATTCTCACAACTTAATTCATAGTTTACCATCTCCATGATTTAGTTTGAAAATCAGATGCCATGTCTAGTACAAGACTGTAGCTCTGATTGAACGATCTAGTCTATGGGGAAATAAATGCTTTGGAAGTTACAACTTTCAATGAAATAGATTTTCTTAGAAAATCAAAAGTAGATCTTGGCCATTGCATGTAAACCACCTAGAACGGGCTACATTGTTGATTGATTACCATTTTGTACATTCTTCCCCATTTATGCTTAAACCCGGTTACTTGCCACTGACTAAAATTTATGTTGAATTCTAGAAATAGTTTTATGTCTTTTTAATGATCAACTATCCATGATTGATTTATAGTTGTACTGGTCTTCTGCCATTTTTCTGAACACCTTGTACTTTTTATCATGGAACCTGGAAAGATAAAACAGAAAAAATAAATCATGTGGGTTTAATACGGTGTATCAATAATGTTACCGTAATTCTCTCCCTTTCCCAAACACTTTTTTTAAAACAAAAGGCCCAGGGGCCACAGTGCTCACCTGAGCACATTAGCTAGGAAAAAGCACATAGATCAGAACTGAAAGTTTACTGAGGGGGGATGGATTGAATTTTAACCCCCCAGGGGATCATGATTTGAACAAACTTGAATCTTCACTACCTGAGGATGATTCCATATAAATATTATTAATCATGGCTTTGAAGTACTTGAAAAGAAGATTTTAAAAGGTTTCCCTTTATATTCCTATGTAAAACTTTGATCAGCCATTTTGGCCCCATCCTACCCCAGGGGGTCAGGATTTGAACAAACCTGAATCTATACTACCTGAGGATGATTCCACATGAGTTTCATCTTTCCTGGCCCAGTGGTTCTTGAGAAGAAGATTTTTAAAGATTTTTCCTATATATTCCTATGTAAAACTTTGATCAGCCATTTTGGCCCCATCCTACCCCTGGGGGTCAGGATTTGAACAAACTTGAATCTACACTACCTGAGGATGATTCCACATGAGTTTCATCTTTCCTGGCCCAGTGGTTCTTGAGAAGAAGATTTTTTAACAAGAGGCCCATGGGCCTTATAGGTCACCTGAGCATTATGCAACAACTTTCCAGTGATTGAATTTGATCCATGTTTTAAGCCAGATGCTATAGCATTTACAATTTTGATCATCATAACTATACACTTAGCAGTTGCTTAGTTTGGTTACTTAATACCCATAGGCAGGGTAGGGGAACAAAAAATGCATTTCAACAAATCAGTAATATTCAGCAATAATCAGTAGTGCCGCTACCACACATGAACCCTTGACTCTTAGGCCTAGATCCACACATTGCACAATTTTTGAAATGGCATCCTTGCTTTTCAAAAGTATTTGATTAATACCAAGGAGCAGATTTCAAACAATTCATTATTTTTCAGTACAGACCCCCCCCTATGGTACTACTGACCCTGGGGCCTTGAAATTCACAATTCTGGAAGATAAGGGCCCTTGCTCATAACTATATTGGTAGTTCATATGCTTAATACCCAGGAGCAGAGAAGAAAATATTCAAAGATTTAATGTTTTTTCACTATATAATCAATAGAGCCCCTCCCTAACACCAGAACCCCTGACCCTGGGGCCATAAAAATTTACAATTTTGGTAGAGGCATTCTTGTTCATCATAACTATGTATTTAGTTAGTTTATTTAATACCCAGGAGCAGAGAAGATTTTCAAAGAATTCATGTATTTTCACTATATAATCAATAGAGCTCCGCCCTAACACCAGGACCCCATGACCCTGGGGCCATAAAATTCACAATTTTAGTAGAGGCACTCTTGCTCATCATATCTATGTACTTAGTAAGTTTATTTAATATCTAAGAGCAGAGAAGAAGATTTTCAAAGAATTTGTGTATTTTCACTATATAATCAAAAGAGCCCCGCCCTAACACCAGACCCCTGACCCTGGGGCCATAAAATTCACAATTTTGGTAGAGGCACTCTTGCTCATCATATCTATGTACTTAGTAAGTTTAATTAATACCTAAGAGCAGAGAAGAAGATTTTCAAAGAATTCGTGTATTTTCACTATATAATCAATAGAGCCCCGCCCTAACACCAGAACCCCTAACCCTGGGGCCATAAATTCACAATTTTGGTAGAGGCACTCTTGCTCATCATAACTATGTACTTAGTTAATTTATATAATACCCAGGAGCAGAGAAGAAGATTTTCAAAGAAATAATGCATTTTCACTATATAATCAATAGAGCCCCTCCCTAACACCAGAACCCCTGACCCTGGGGCCATAAAATTCACAATTTTGGTAGAGGCTCTCTTGCTCATCATAACTATGTACTTAGTTAGTTTATATAATACCCAGGAGCAGAGAAGAAGATTTTCAAAGATTTCATGTATTTTTACTATATAATCTATAGAGCCCCGCCCTAACACCAGAACCCCTGACCCTGGGGCCATAAAATTCACAATTTTGGTAGAGGCACTCTTGCTCATCATAACCATGTACTTAGTTAGTTTATTTAATACCCAGGAGCAGAGAAGAAGATTTTCAAAGAAATAATGCATTTTCACTATATACTTATTTAGCCCCACCCTAGCACAAGAACCCCTGACCCCAGGGCCATGAATTTCACAATTTTGGTAGAGGACTCAGTGCTGATTACAATCATGCAAACAGTTTGACTGCTTGATGTCCAGGAGTAAAGAAGAAGATTTTTAAAGATTGCATTAATTTAAGTGGTTTTGGCCCCAACCCCCAGGCCCCAGGGGGGCAGGGATCATGAAATTCACAGTTTTTGTTCCCCTTCACCCATAGATGCTTTGTGCCAAATTTGGTTGAAATTGGTTCAGTGGTTGCAGAGAAGAAGCTGAAAATGTTCAAAAGTTTACGACCGATTGACGACGAACAACGAACGACGTACGACGATGGACGAAAACAGATAGCAATAGGTCACCCGAGTGACTCATGTGAACTAAAAATGCCATTAATTTTTCTCTTATTCATAATTATCTCCCCTTGGAAAAGGGTGTGGCCCTTCATTTGAACAAACTTGAATCCCCTTTACCCAAGGATACTTTGTAGCAAGTTTGGTTGAAATTGGCCCAGTGGTTCTTGAGAAGAAGATGAAAACGTAAAAAGTTTACGACAATGACGACGACAACAACGACGACGATGACAGACGACGGACAAATTTTTGATCAGAAAAGCTCACTTGAGCCTTCGGCTCAGGTGAGCTAAAAAATTGTCACTTCAGAATTGTACTGACAGAACCAAATTACGCACCCCCTGGGTAAACAGTCAAAGCATGTACAGTATTTCAGTATCTAAAACACTGATATCTCAAATAACATGGTTATGTCAAAGAAAATTTGAAGTCCCAACCACTTACATGTATTCTTTAAATATTTTATATCAGATATCTTAAATCCTTGGATATCTCAATTTTTTTCTTGGTCCCACTGAGTTCAAGATAACAAGGTTTGATTCTATCTTGAAAAGGCAGCACAGAATGTAATCTAAACACTAAGCTAACCCTTGTGTGTGCAGTTAAACGGACCTATACAGTGAGTTCAGTTTATATAAGACCCTAATGATAAATTAGTACATGTATGTAATGTCTTCTGAACTCATGTAAATAATACATAAAATCTAACGCTTACCCAGCCTGTGATTCTGAGGGTCTGATTATTTTTCCTTCTCCACACATACTCAGCATAGCATCCTTTCCATGGTTGAAGAGAAAATTTGTCATTAATTACTTGTCAACTTTTCCTACAAGTTCAAAGTCACCTGGGTTTTCAGATAATCTAGCAAATGTGCCTTCAACAAACATTTCACTGACCTGGATTGTTCTAAAGTCCTTGGAAGCACTTGCCCCAAGGATTGCTGATCCAACCAAAACAAGTTCTTCTTCATCCGGCAGTACCACGGGAATACCTTCAAAATAAAGCAAACGATAGAATAAAGATGTCAAACGTTTTGATCCAATTCCTTGTTAATCAATTCTCAGGTATCAGATCATATGGGTTACCTAGCACATCTGCATGAGTTTCCACGTAAAGGCGATTTTTGCTCAGACCACCACACATATAAATAATTTCAACTGAATGACCTGCTTTCTTCATTTCATCAATAATATGTCTGGTCCCATACTATAAAAGTAAAATATGTCATGTATGTGAAGCAATACAATGTGTGATATATCATTATTTATCTCACTCCAGATATCAATATCTCAATTATTCAGTATAAGGTACTGTAGCAGAGTTCAGTCAGATTAACTTACAGTGAGGGCTTGTATTGTGGCTAGGTATTGTATTGCAAGGTCTCTCACATTCATAGACAGTGACATTCCACATATCTAAAGAAAGCAAGAAGGTAATCAAACATGCATGAAAAAGATTCTCTTCGTAGGGATCTCAAATTTTTAACGAAAACAATGGTTTTACATGTATATTATTACGCAAGCTTGTGTCAGTACAAAAATTGATTAAAAACAGGAAGCAACTAGTAAATGATTATATGAGGGAGTGAAGGACATAGATGTATGATAATTGTATTGCCTTAAAGAAAATAAAGTTTTAAGTGAAATGCACATATAGGTCTATAAAATGCACATATAGGTCTATAATCTAATTTAAAAAAAACTTTTAATAAGATTTTTTGAGAAGGTTCAGTAATTAAGAGTACCCACCATACCCTTGAGTGTTGGGTCTGCCAAGGGTGATCTGTTGCCATGGAAATCTGGATAAACATGGTAATCTCTGGCTAAGTGACTGACAAATGGCACTGTATCTTGTTGCATATAAGTATTTAGGCAATTGTTTAGACAGTCATGAATATGAACATCCCGTTCATCTCTGAAAAAATAAAATAAAACAGAAGAATTGAGGAATTTTAAAATGTCTTGGAGATGGAATCAGTGTAAGTCTTCTGCTGGGTTTTTACCTCTAGTATGCATTAGTTCAATTCTGGTATTAGCAATTCATAATGCATCTTAAAACATTTTTTTCTTTCTTTTTTTTTATATCTTCATAATTCATCTAGATTATATCAGGTAGATTTCTTACTGTAGAGTTTTTGCTTCTTTTACTGTTTGAGTATAGGCAGGGTGAGACTCAATTAATTTATCTATCTAAAATCAAAGATGGAAAATAATGCGTGTGGAGGAAAAATATGGGGAACTCTAGAAAATAAAGTTTGTTGCTTGATTTGAAGTAAATCACTGCAGATATAAAGTAACATTTTCAAAGATTTCTTGGTTATAATCAAGTAATACGTATAAGGTTCATAAACCCTTTGATCACTCATATAAAATGCGGCTTTAACTCTTATGATTTTCCAAAAGAAATGTTTTACAAACAAAATAAGAAAAATTACAGTATAGCTTGCAGGGCGAAATTGGATAAACTTGGCAAATTTATAAAGAAATAATAGAAATTTATGTCATTAAGAGTTATCTCTCTTATCAGAGGGTTGGTGAACCATAACTGACCAGTTGACCCCCTGCACTTTGTCCTCCCTCAGCATTGTACAGACCAGGCAGTATAGCAGAGTAGTAAGGCCCCCAGACTCCAGGTACAAAATGAGGATTCTGACTCATCTGCAGAAGACACAAACAGGTACAAAAACATTTTTTCATCCTACATTTCATCAAGGTGTTCAGTTCAATATTAAAGTCAAAATGCAAATTACAAAAATATTTGAAAACTACTGCATTTGGCCAATGCTATGAATCAAATACCTTAAGTAAAATTTTTTTTAGAATAATAAGCTCCTCTGTGACTTACAATCATGTGACAGACTGAGGTTCCTGATATAGCTACCATTCTATGACTTACAATCATGTGACAGACTGAGTTCCTGATATAACTACCATTCTATGACTTACAATCATGTGACATTCTGTGACTTACAATCATGTGACAGACCGAGGTTCCTGATATAACTACCATTCTGTGACTTACAGTCATGTGACAGACTGAGTTCCTGATATAACTACCATTCTGTGACTTACAATCATGTGACAGACTGATTAAGGTCCTTGATATAACTACCATTCTGTGACTTACAATCATTTGACTTACAATCATTTGACAGACTGAGGTTCCTGATATAACTACCATTCTGTGACTTATAATCATATGACAGACTGAGTTCCTGATATAACTACCATTCTGTGACTTACAATCATGTGACAGACTGAGTTCCTGATATAACTAGCATTCTGTGACTCACAATCATGTGACAGACTGATTTCCTGATATAACTACCATCCTATGACTTACAATAATGTGACAGACTGAGGTCTCTGATATAACTACCATTCTGTGGCTTACAATCATATGACAGACTGAGTTCCTGATATAACTACCATTCTGTGACATACAATCATGTGACTTACAATCATGTGACAGACTGAGGTCCCTGATATAACTACTATTCTGTGGCTTACAATCATATGACAGACTGAGTTCCTGATATAACTACCATTCTGTGGCTTACAATCATTTGACTTACAATCATGTGACAGACTGAGGTTCCTGATATAACTACCATTCTGTGACTTACAATCATATGACAGACTGAGTTCCTGATATAACTACCATTCTGTGACTTACAATCATGTGACAGACTGAGTTCCTGATATAACTACCATTCTGTGACTTACAATCATGTGACAGACTGAGTTCCTGATATAACTACCATTCTGTGACTTACAATCATGTGACAGACTGAAGTCTCTGATATAACTACCATTCTGTGGCTTACAATCATTTGACTTACAATCATGTGACAGACTGAGGTTCCTGATATAACTACCATTCTGTGACTTACAATCATATGACAGACTGAGTTCCTGATATAACTACCATTCTGTGACTTACAATCATGTGACAGACTGAGTTCCTGATATAACTACCATTCTACGACTTACAATCATGTGACAGACTGAGGTCTCTGATATAACTACCATTCTGTGGCTTACAATCATAAGACAGACTGAGTTCCTGATATAACTACCATTCTGTGACTTACAATCATGTGACAGACTGATCAAGGTCCTTGATATAACTACCATTCTGTGACTTACAATCATGTGACTTACAATCATGTGACAGACTGAGGTTCCTGATATAACTACCATTCTGTGACTTACAATCATGTGACAGACTGAGGTTCCTGATATAACTACCATTCTGTGACTTACAATCATGTGACAGACTGAGGTCCCTAATATAACTATCATTCTGTGATACACAATCATGTGACAGACTGAGGTCCCTGATATAACTACCATTCGGGAGGTGAGGTCTGGTAATGGTAAAGGGTCTGAATTGATATCATCTTTAGGAATGCATCCAACACATCCTGTAAAATGCTTTGGTTTAACAATGCTGGAACAATTTTGAATGGTTCTCTCTTCTTTTTTTTGAAAATTCATGAGTTCAGTTTGAGAAGAAATATACCCAAATTATTTACCTAAGACACCAGCATGTGCATCTACAATGGAGGTTCCCACAGGGGTCCCCATCTTCAGCCCCATCGCTATGGCTACAGAGTCACAGAGGCCACTCCCACAGAGTATTCCAGGAGACTGGACCTTGGTGCCTGTTTATAAATGGTACACAATACTTTATATAAAAGGTAGGCAATATACCCTTTTAATAATGATTTATGACCTACTATTAACTTTTCATTTACTTTTTTCAAGATACAAAGCCTAACTGTGGGTACCATGATGAAAGCATGCATGATACAAGTTCATGTATTTGTAAAATGCAAGTAACTCAAAGTTTTCAAAATTAGGTCAAATTGACCTAATTTTAAGCCTTTCAAAGATACATCAATAAAGAAAGTCATTCTAATGATTTCTCAATTTCATCATTAAATCAAGACTTAAGCATATTCACAATCAGAAAGTCAGCCTTCATAAAACTAGCTTTTGTAAATCTGCCTACAGTGCAGCTGCTATCAATGTAAATATAAAATTACCAATTTTCTTGACATCATCTTCTAGTAAATCCTCTAGCCCTATAGTTTTGTAGAAATCCTGATCCCATCTTGGATTGCCCCGATTGTCAGCATGATAAGACCACTTACAAACCAACGAACAAAGGGACCTATCAGTAAAGTGCAAAACATAACAGCAGCCATCTAACCAGAGCAGAACATTTTTTATCAGTTCCATGAGTTTTGCAGCAAAAATTATCTGTTTCATTGAGGTTTTATAGCATTTTTTCCACAGTACATGTAGTTTTTTCTGTTTTTTAAGGTAGGATTCTTCTCATATTTCTAATATTTAAAAATTAATGAAATTTTCACAGAATCAAGAAGACAATACCAGTAAGTGATAGTATCAGTGAAATTAAATTTGACCGTTTTATATTAGAGGCAAGGTCAGGTCAAGGTCATTATCATTTTCCTTGACATTAAGAATAAAAAATAACTGTTGCCAATCATGTGATACCTACTTCTATTTCAAAAGGTTAATGATTGTTCTTTTTGCATAAAAACATATTACTATATCGGGTCTATAGCATGATATTATCAAATTTACCCAAATAATTTAACTTAACTGGATATTGGCTAATCCGAATTTTCTCTGTTTTTCTTAATTTTTCAGGATATATTAGTTATTTTCATATGCTTCCTATATTTAACTTTTTCTTATTTTCACATATAATAAAGTAGTCTTATAAATGTACAAAATGATACAAAAACAAAAAGTTTTGATCATTTACTAAGAGAGAAAAAAAAATACTTTTTATGGATTTTTGGCTCAAATCTGCACTTTGAGAGGAAGCATTTAAAAGCTAATTAAGTTCTATTTTTTTTAAAAAATCATATTTATTTGATATATTTTGAAAGTTTAGTCCCTCATTATTAATCTAACTTACATTTGAAAATTTCTCCAAGTCTTTGATTGTGTAAAAATTATAACTAAATTCATTGTTCTATAATAATTTTGAGAGGCAGAAAAGAAGATATTTTCATACGCCACCATTTCGCCAAAAATATAGTCCCTGCGAGTTTTCAAATGCAGTTTACCATTTCTATTTAAAGTTGTACAATTGTGATGAGGAAAGAAAAATATGATCTTATAAATTCCTTACACCTCAATATATAAGACATATAAGCAAATATACTTTGAGTGTTTCATCTTAAGTCAAAAACCAGAGAAGAATCCTACCTTAACTCAGTTGCTAAAACTATCATTGTGAAGTTAAATAGCAGCTACATATGTGAAACCTTGTTGAGCTTTTTGTGGCTTTCCAAGTCAGAAAGTCTGGTAGATCAAAGAAATGATGGGCCTTTCTCCAACTCTGTGGTAAATTCTGAAATCAAAGATATGCAGTGACTAAAATGACATGTGGACATTATAACATTGATATCAACTGTCTCAATTTACATCAATATGAATAATTTTTTTCTGCAATAGCTGTAACATTAATATGATATTGATAATAACAAAGAAAGAAAGACTTTGTTTACTGCAAAAGCACAAATATTTGTGGGGGTTAAATTTTGTTTATTTTGTTGTTAAGAATTATCAACAGAATTAAATCCCACAGGAAAATTTATATGACTAATTGACTATATATATATTGAATAGGGTTAATTTCAAAACAATGAAAATAAATTCCCATGAAATTATTTTAGATAACAATTCAACAAAATTTTATCCCTACGAAAATTTGTGCTTCTACAGTAGAATATAAATTTATGACTGTATGGATAAAGGAAGACATTAGGAAGTAACATTCAGTAGATGTAATATATGATTTTAAATACATATTATGTGTACATGTAAACTCTTTATCACTTAACATAAAAAAATAAAAGTTATCACTATTCTCCAAACCATACTGATTGATAAGAAGACATGTCAAAAACATCATATTTAATTTTAAATTCTCACCTTTTTAAGCCACAAGAGTTTGGGTGGCTGCATTTCAAGAGACATTTGCCCACCCTGGCACTTTAGGGCTGAATGCTTAGTTGAGTTTATAAACTTTGCCTCACTTTCAGCCCTGTGATCCATCCACATGATGATGTCACAATCCTTACAAGAGTCTGAATGTGTAGTCTCTGAAACTGAAGAAAGTCATTGAAAGTCAACCAATTAAACCACCATCATACTTCTACCTGTTGTTTTTATTTTGTGTCATTAAGATACTTTGTCACAAGGACTATTGGACAACATTCTGGCATGTGTTGCATGCAGATGTCAACTATGAGAGTAACTAGGGATGTGCGATTTTATCGGTATACCGGTATACTGCGATTTTTTGATGCGTGATACGTATCGTGATACGGAGACCTAAATACCGGTATTTAGGTACATATAATAAAGCCCCGAAATTATTCATTTATTTGTTCAATCTTTCAAATTACAATTATAGAAAGTCTAAAAAATGTTGTAAAAGGTGAAAAGAACAACATCTTACCATCCAAACATGATTAATTTTATGTACATAAAAAATTCAAAAAAGTGAAATTTTGTTTTTCTAGCATATTTTTAAGAAAAATAATGACAATTCAATAAAAATCATTGTAAAAATTAATGGTAAAAATATCATGATATTATCGTGATATTTTGGGGAAAAATCGTGATGTATCGCGATACAAAATTTTTGGTGATACCCATCCCTAAGAGTAACTAATCAAGCTTTTGTTCAGTTGAAGTAAGAATTTGGAGTAATTAATTCATAATTAAGCAAAATTTGTTGTGTGTCATAAATAAATAATGTGTCTTAGCAAGGCCAACTTTATGTATCTTAGTATACTTGGTACTGAAATCGAATCAAAACTGTTGGAGGAGAAACATTTTTAAAAAATTGTTTACGGACAGACAGATGGACAGACCACTGGATAAAGGACACTTTACTTAAGCATAAGCTCTTGATGTGTCTCACAAGTAGAGCTTTAAAATAGAAAAAATAGAGAAAGGTATTATCAATCATACATACACAGAGGAGTTCGAAACACTTAATTTGTATAAAGAATTTGGGAGGTTACAAATACATGTACCTTTGGGACAAACTGAAACAGGCTTTCCCTCCACATCTAGAACAACCAGAGAACAAGTGGCATCAAACCCTATACCATGAATCAAGTCTTTGGCCACACCTGATTGATTTACCGCTGTCTATGAAGAATAACAGAGCATTGCATCATTCTGACTTAAAACAATTTGCATCATATGTGAGGTAGTGTATTCAATTCATAGCAATTCTTTTGGCATTCTTTTACTTAAAATGTAGATGTTTCAATGTTTAAAAGTGACACAAAAGTTTTTTACGTTTGTAACAATAAAGTCAGTGAACATAAAACTTGATTTATGTCATTAATTTCTAGTGATATATCAGAAATCAACTCATTATCTAAAAGCACAGCAAAAAGCTCATTATATCTACTAACATGCAAAGGAATGCATAGAAGTTCATTCAAGTGAAAAAATCCAATAATATATTTCAGCAACAAATTTATTAATCACAATAATCCAAAATTCTATTTGGTCATTAATTAAGACTTGAATAAACTATACTTCTTGGCAAGTTTTTTTTGGGGGGTGGGGGGGTGTTGTTTAAACACTTATACCCTGACAGCTTGAATCACTGCCTTCCAGATGTTTTCTGATGACTGAAGATAGAAGTTGGCAGCTGGTTCCCATATCTTTATCTTCTCAGTGGACTTGGCAACAATTTTTCCATTTTGATTCACAACTGCTGCTCTGACACTGCAAGTGCCAACATCAATACCAATGTAGTGTGGGACATCCATCATTGCTCTGAGTCTCCTTCACCAAAATCTAGCTATAAGAAATGAAAACAATAAGTAAAATATTATAGAAACAACAAGAAAGATGCCATCATTCAATGGGACCACAAAACCTGAAATTTATTACTGCAGTTATCAACAGAAATTAAGTCAATCAAAAATCAGCACAATCCTTATTTATTTGTAGACCTCTTCAACTGATCTGAAGTGAAGCCCCAGAATAATTAGATGTGAAACAGTTCAAAAGATACTAAATTATGACATTATCAGTCAATTCAGTTGAGTATGTTCACTGTATTCTAGTAGGCCTAATTTTAAAATAAGCCAATGAAACGTATTGCGTTGCAATTGTTTAAGATCTACTGAAACACTGAAGCCTAAATCTTCTCACACTGTAACACCATGATACAGTGTATATATGTTCTTGAAAATGTACTCTATAATTTTCTACAAATATCGAGAATCATAATAATCAAATCATCTAAAACGTGTCTTACCTACTTTCACTTTTACTTCTGACTGACGATATTGCGCCAACATTTACATAATGAATTTTTAATCTTTTAAACGGCTATTTCGACAAAATAAGTAAATTTCAAATACTTCTAACAATAATATGCAAAGTTTTATACTTAACCGCCGTGACAAGCTTGCAAAAATAATAACCTTATCAATCCTGATACTTGTGTTCAATAAATTTCCGAAATCTTCCGAGTGTGCCATTCGGAATGGATTATTCTTTAGGGTCCATCTCCAAAGTTGAAAATGAAATTATTGTGTAAAACAATCCTAATTAATTTATTCCTTAGATATGCAACCATTATTTGACTGATTTTTAAAATATATAACAGTTTTAGGGGGTTTTTTCTTACAGTAATGATTGATACCCTTATCAAAAATACTTCCGGAGCATAAGCCGAGATTCAGTCTAAAAGTATACAACAATTACCCATAATTCTTTGCGCTTGCTTGGTAACAGTGACACAAAACGTGAAGGAGGGAAAGTGCTTTCTTTATCTTGGCAATGTAGGGTATATTTATGATTTAAATATTGTAGTTACAGTGTAGATCTTAACAAATTATTGCAATACAACAAATCGTAAGAAAATGAGTTTCCAAGAAATCAAGAACGAGCCACGACAAGATTGGCAGCAGACGTCCACAGGGGTTGGTCACCATTATCGACCAGGATATTATTTTCCTAATTCTGATTTCAAGGTATGTGTTTGATAAATTCTGTGAAGTTGTTATGAAGTTGTTCAGTTTTTCCCTTGGGAGGGAAAAGGGGTAGTATGTTTACTGCAATGGTGAGTGATGAGGATGCAGAGAATGCATGCATGCTCATGAAAGATGTAGTTCTAAATCAATAATATGCCACTTTAAATATACATGGTACATGTACATTGGTAGTATAATTATTCAGAATAATGTAGATGACAATAAATTATTGAACCAAAATATTATTTCAGGCTTTAAAATAATGCAATGTCACAACTGTTAATGTCCTTAACATCTGTAAACAGAACTAAAAATCAAAGGCTGGGACAGTATTAAAACTTATTTTATTCCATGAATAATATTCCTTTTAACATCATTGCACAGCATTTGAACAAGAATTTGTTAAACTAGTTGAAGATTTCAATACAGTCAATATGATACATGCACTTCAATATTAATGTAGTTATCTGAATTCAATGTTATATCTTATATGTATTACAACATATTCCTCTAATGTTGTAGACCTTGATATATGATCCAGTCCCTCCTCCCCTGGCAAAACAGGATGAAATTACAAGAGACCAGCACTTCAAAACAACATATGGGGATTTCCATGACACCAAATATGGAAAGGGTGCTTATGGCAATCCTATCCACCAGAAGGCTCCTGGACATTGGAAAGTAAATTATGTCAAGGATCTGGCAGAAAAAGTGAGCATATGTACCTCTTATCATGTGTTCAAATGATAAACACTTATGTTGTCATTGAAAATTGCAATCCTGTCAGTGTGTCATGAGAAAATTTTGTTAAATGATAATAAATCCATCAAAATACACAGGAAACCAATTTGCTTGAAAAACAACAAACAATCAATCAGTTTGCTTCAAGTTTGATTAAAATCATTTTGATTTTTTTAAATTAATGTTTATATGATGTGTAAGTAATCTGAGTTGAATGACATTGTTTTCTTTGTCAGCTTGATAAAGGAGGTTGGAGAAAACCACTTACTATGGGAAATCAGTTGACAGAAACAAAAGAGGAATTTTCCAACAAGTCTGGAGTCAGACAAAATTATCATTTCCAGGATGCTGCAGGCCTCAACCTACCACAACCCTACAATCTACATGACCACCATGTAGAAGGACCATCAAAAGTAGGCACTGCTTTCATTTTATTTTCACTTCGAGGTTTCGAGTCTTTTCATTTTTATGTACCAAGGCAGTGACCATTACGTTCCGTCTTCTTATGATATTTTGTTAAATTGCTTTTTTTCTATCTTCTTTTTTTCATAGTATGGACAGGGTACAACACAGAATCCAAAACTTCAGGGCCAGCCATTCTATGTCAGGGACAAAGGAGTTCTAAACTTATTAGACCCCTACCTATCTACCACACAGAAAGATCACAGGTCATTTAAACCTAATGAACTTAAAAAATACCCAAAGAAGGATGTGGCCACATATTGGGAGTGTGAGGAATACCCAAAGGCCTGGGGACACGGTCTTAAACACAAGTAAATATAACCTATATTAACTAGTATTTTATACATGTAGTGTTTGCCATAGCAATGAAACAACACTTACAGTGGCAAGGAAAACTATTTTCTTAGATTATATTGAGAAAGGAATATCAAAATGAATTCTAACTAATTTGTGAAAGACTAGAGGTAGCCTTTCTTTTAAAAAAAACCTTAAATATTCCTTTTCATTAAGAGGAAATTTATATGTCAGTTTAATTGCAGTTGATAAATGCATGAAATTTCAAAAGTCACAGTCACATTGTAATAGACTGGTTATTTTAGTATCCGAGAAAGTAAACTTCTAATAAGTTAACATGGTAAAAGTGAGGACATTTTGTTTCATTGTAGTCCTGTTCCCAAGGACAATGTTCCTAGAGAGCGATTACCAATGGTTGACCCCACATGGTTTAAGACTCGGACCACCATCCCCAGGCAGCCTAAGGCCCTGTTACCTGTCCCCCACGCAGGCCTGAAGTCCCTGTACGCCGAATCCTTCCAGCAGCCCTCAGATGTCAAGGCCAAGGAGAATTACTACTGCGCTGTAGACACACCTTTTGTCCTTCCAGGTTTGTAGATATTTTTGATTTGCACTGTCAGTTTGTTTATTTCTTCAATTAAATTTAACAAGCTAATTTCCATTCATGGAAATATTTCTGTGTACTTTAATAGCATCGATAAATGTTTTTATTTTAAAGATATTTAAATATGCTGTGTGTTGGAAAATGTTTAACCTTCTTATTTTCATCTTCAACTGACAAATTCATATAGCACTAGAAATTTACAGTAAAATTGACAGTAAATAATTGCTCTGGTTCTGTTCATTCTCCAAACACTTTTTTGATCCAAGACTGTAATCATTTTTATATAGTTAAATATATATATAAAGACAAGACAGTATTGATTTATACATAGGTATTTTTCTTGCAGCCCCAGGTACCAAGTCAGTGATGACAGCACCCAAGATGTACAACACAGAATACCAGCATGTGGGAAGTAAGAAGCCAGTCATTGTATAACACCACAGATGATAAAAAATTAACTGTACAGAAGTCAGGATATATTTTACACATTGATACCAATCTTGATTCCATAATACAAACCAGTTTCAGACTTTCAGTAGCGTAAAGATTGGTTTAATTTGAATTTTCAAATGTTACAATGAGGAACTCTTGAAGATTATTGTATTCAAATGTGGATAGAACATTTGGAAATTGAGTTGATTATGTTAAAAAATAGTTTAATTTTTGTTGAAGTATATTTTTGTTGCTTAAATGTGAAATTTTTGTGTTTTAAATGTCTTTTTTTTTTTTACAAATTGGTACATTGTAAGTATTACACATATTATTGTGATGTTTGTTACAGAGGCTGTGATATTTTTAGTAATTTTATTAAAGTCTATATGTGTGTAATACAGTATGCTTTGTATACTGACATCACAAGTCATTAAACATAAGGACATTTTAAGTTTGTTCTATTTATTCATTAAGTCTAGGACTAAAACTAATACCTTGATTTTTTTTTACAACATGATTCCCTCAAACAAGTGAGTAAAAAGTTCTGGAAACAGACATTTTAAAGGAATTTTGTGAAATAAAATTGAGAGGCACCTTGAAACTTAATTGAAACTTTTTATTTCACTAAAGTCCACACATGGGGTATGTTAGTATTCTGAGATTTTAACAGTTGAACATATTGACATATGAAAAATTAACAATGAACAACAAAAAAATCTTTGATATGAACAACCACACCAAATACCGATATATCAACCTTTTTGATAGAGACAGTTTTTTTTTTGCAAAATGTTCAGTACAAAGATTGTGCACTTTGACTCTTCCATCAGACTTTGCAGTAAAGATCTGAATTTATAGCCAAACCAAATGGTGGCTGTACTTCGTTGGTTTGAGACCTTTGAATTTGATATTGGTGGTTTATGTGTGGACGGAACAATGGTTTAAATTCCCTGGTTCTAATTCCAACAGCTTGTAGTCAATTGCAAATTATTAATTTCTATACAGTTCAGGAATAGCAAATAGTAAACTCTATAGACAACATCATTCTGTAACGTTGATGAAGTTGGCGCAAAATAGAGAGGCGATATCCTGTGATGCTAAGCTCTCGCTCTTTTTATAGTCTTTCCCATCTTTTTCGTAGCATGCTTTAGGTATTTTGTTTTATAGATGAAACTGGTTGGTGTGAGCAATATTAGTGGATCTTACTACTCAACATGTAGTTGGCGGCACACCTGCAGCTTCTTAGTCGCCCCATTTCCTATGTGCCTTATACAGCATTTAAGGTACTAAAACAATTTTTTGTTAAAAATACCAGAATAAAAATATCCAGAACCTTAGCTTTTGATAGACTTTTCAAACCTAAATAACATGGATCAAAAACCGATGAAAGAAAATTGTTCAAGAGACTAAATAATCCGTTTTTTTTATCAGTGACTTCTGTAGAATAGATAGCTTACAAAAACGTTAAAAAACGAAACGGATTTTACTCAAAACGAATCATATTCATCTAAAGAATATTGTTTCATTAAACTATTTTATATCATTTAGCGTATTATTTTTATTATGCGTTTTTTTTTTATCATGCATACTGCCATTCTTTCGTTAATATTGGATCCATTCCATCTCTTACCTCTGCGTGGCACAGCGGTTAGTGCGTTGCTTTATCATCGCAGAGTAAGCAGTTGATCCTTAGATCGCGGATCAGAATACCACTGAGGGTTTTGGGGCCGTATAATCCCAGATACACACATGTATCGTGTCCATGTAGGTGTTGGCATGAAAGATCACTCTCTGCTCAAAGATAGTAAATGAAGAGTACAGGACTAAAGTTTCAGCCCTCCCTTGGCAAGTGGTGACGCCTCAATGATTGAAAAAATATCAAAGGGACATTAAACAAACAGACTTACTAGAAAAAAAAAATGAAAAATGATTCTTAACTTACGACTTTATTCATATATATGTATACTATTATATGTACAATATGATTTGATTTCTGCTGATTCAGCAGCAAAAACAAAAAGTTTTTTGTCGAGAATTTTTTTGTTGTCAGCAGTGCTTTGACTAGTAAATCAAAATGGAATAATTCTATTCTTTTCATATTAGAGATTATAGTACTGATAAAAATAGATCATAGAGAGCAATGCACAAGTGATAAGCACCTGCATTCCCATTGGTCGGACAGACTTCCAATGATTTCATAAACCATTTCATGGCATTTTGTACATCATTGATGACACGATAACAATATCCCAGGATATTGTAATGTCGGTGTAGCTCTACAGGCATTCCACTCGAACACTCATCTCCGTTTTCAACATATAATACCATCGACTTTAAATGTTCAATTGAAGAAGACAGTTGTTCTGTATCTCTTAAGTTGAATGCAACCTGCAACTGCACATAACAAACATAAACGAGTGGATTGACGGAACAAAAACACCAATTTGACCTCCCTTCCAAAAGAGCACATTCATATTGTAAAGCAGGGGGCACACAAGATATATCAGAACAACTGAAAATAACGTCAAAAGCAAGATCGTTTTCATTTGCCATGTCAACCAACGTAACAGTTTCATCCATATCCGGTGAGAGCAATGAACGCTTCCCGCAGATAAATAACCCAGGCGTCCCTTTGTATGGAATAGCTGCACGTCTGCTAAAGATGTCTTTGAGAAATCTTTTGATTAAATCATAGTTCCTTGCTTGGTAATGATACGTTAATAAGTACATGGTTGCTGCCAGCACATCGTGTTGTAATCCCGCCTCGAAGCACCGCTTTGATTCAGAGATAAGCTTACGTCGCATTTCTACATCAACTGTGTTTTTAGCTTCCACAAGAAAGAGCATTCCAACACGAATGGATAGGAACTTTAAAGCATAGTCACCCATCAATGTCTTCAGCTGTTCATCAATTTCTTCTGCAACCTTCAATAAACTTTCCACAGTCGTCTGCAAAAACATAATTCCTACTGTAACCTCCATACTGAGACATCGGGCATGGGTATACTTGTTACGTTGCAACTTCTTGTTCCCTGTTTCCAAAATAATTTTACAGGCAGCCTGAAACTCCATCTCTGGCGCTCCTTGTGCAAACAACCGCAGTGATGAGAGATATTGACTACCGCTTTTGTACCACCATTTGCAGTTAATAAAATAGCCAATGATATTCTCCTTCACAAGTTCAATTTCCGAGATGAGACGGTTCCTTATCATTTCATCTTCTAGTTTGCCCATGAAGAGATTTCGAGATCTCAGAAAATAATGTGACAAGTGCCTCTGTTGGATACATTCGGTCAAAAAAGATAAGCAAGCCTTCACGCAGTTTGTTAAATTTGATGGATCCCAGTCAGAAATTTCTTCGGACATCCAGAATACAATGGTTTTCAAATGAAAAGAATTTATTTCATCTGGAACAATTTTGTCTAGCATCTCCTTCTTTAGTGTTTTGAAAATAACATAGCACTGAATTTGAACATCGCTGAAATTCCAGATAAGCTCTCGCTCTGGCAAGATGAATGCAAACCGCCATTCTAAATGGCACTTCTCAGATTGAGCACAACCAACCGGCAAAGCATGACAGGGCATAACTTTGATTTTATTGATCAGCAGTTGGTTAGGCCATTGAGATTTTCGTTTTCTGGATATCCATTCCAATGAATCCCTGGGCCACGAGGAGCATTTCAAACCAATACCAATATCTGAATCCTTTCCATATTTGGAGTAATTCAGCATGACACATGGACCGTGACGAAGTGAATCCCCGGCGTGGAAAGAAGGTGGGGAATACTTATCCATTCCTGCTATCATATTCATAACGTATTTGATGTAACTCTCACTTGACAAATAGAGATCATCGTTTGATTGGATGCAGGCTTCGACGCATGATCTAGTTTCATGTCTCTTTTCATTCTGAGAAAGCCTGTAAGGATTCAGTAATGTAAATCCTGGTGGACAATCCTCTGTGTTCATGATGAGCACATTTCCCGCCATGCTGACGTCACGGTCTACTGAGGTAACTACTTCCGTGTCTTTGACTTGTAACATTTGGTCTTCATCACTTTCTGGCGAAGCAGAACAGTCAATTCTGCTTCCGGTTACAATGGTGTCTACGTTGTGGACATGTCTAATGATACATTCGCAAATAAATGCCCACTGTCTATATATATTCAGTTCCTCATTGGCCACGTGATCAGAGGTAAGAATGGCCGATATTGAGCTAGAGGATTTGGGATTGTCTTTTATGTTGAACTGGTTGATAAGTTCTGATGCAACAGGTCGCTCTGCATTGGCATTTTGCTCTTCATGAGTTCTTCTGTATAATACTTCAAAAGACATGATTTATTTTCTGTAGAAATTTTCATATACCTGATCGAAAAAGAAGATGCTTATTAAGTATATTATTTGTAATTGAAATTCTCAAACATAACAAATGCACTAAAATTCAGATGATATTTTTTAATTTGTTCAGTTTACTTGCTGTAAATCCCACCAATTCGTATATTTTTTATTCACTTGAGAGGGATCCCTTTTATGGTCAATAATGTTTTGATATAATGCTAGAGCGGTAACATTCAAAAGTCCGAATCCCCAAAATTACTTTGTCAATGGACAAGTGACAATACATGTATGTATATTCGTATTTGGACATGGAGACTGATGTTTCGGATGAGTCTGTATAAACCGAGGTCCTATGTCGCAGCAGGTGCTGGCACGAAAAAGATCCCTCACTGCTCAATGGTCCTTAGTGCTGAGGTTGGGTAAAAAAAATGCAGCTCTCCATCAGCAAGTATTGGGGTCTCCATATATAAATGAAGAATTCCTGTGAGGGAATTTAAAACAAAAAAAGGGGAAGGAGGGATTGTATAAATTTGGGGTAGGTGTGTCGTTTAGATCGTGATGGGGGTGCACTGAAATATCCTTTCCCTCGATGAGGCAAAATTTCGATTTCATGGAAATGGATTTCAGTTCTACGCCATACCATATCCATGAGAGCCAGTAACATACAAAACAATGCATCTATTCATATTTTACAAGTGAAATTAAATATTGGGAAGGGCATCACATTTCCGAAGGTTCAAGATCCCCAAGATGGAGCTGGCTATTTTGTACGTTATACACATACGCTATAATGTACTCGACTCACTAAGCCTAGACTTGACGTTTAATAAGTAGGGGCCTACTTGCTACAAATGTAAGATCGATACAATTTACTAACTTGATCAAATGCATATTTCGATTAACTGTCGATTGAAAAAAAAATTATATTTAGTAATACAATGCCTGTATACAATGTAACAAACCTATATTTTTCTTGACAAGTCCACTCCGAAATATGTCTGATTAAATTCAAAACAGGAAAACCTTGTTTCGCTTTAATCATATGATCTGTTGGAGCAGATCGTGACAAAGTCATTGATATGTAAATCGGCAGACTTGGTACTTTTAAATAGC